ACAATAACATGAATTAAAAAAATAAAAATCCAAATTTAAACCCACACCATTATACTTTGCATGGTTTCTCCAAAGCAGGGGTCTCGAACTCCAGGCCTGTCCTGCAGGTTTTAGATCGTGCCCTGGGTCAACACACCTGGATCAAATGATTAGTTCATTACTAGGCCTCTGGAGAACTTCAAGACATGTTGAGGAGGTAATTTAGACATTTGAATCAGCTGTTTTGGATCAAGGACACATGTAAACCCTACAGGACATCGGCCCTCGAGGCCTGGAGTTCGAGACCCCTGCTCTAAAGTGCAGAATTTATTCTAGAAAAAAAAATAAGAAGAAGGTGATCAGATGATCCTTCTACTAAAAATGTACCTCTTAAAGGAATTTAAGCCTTACAATGTAGGTTTTCCTGGTGTAGTTGGGAGTAGCTGGAATTGTGTAGCCATCCTCCAGATTTATACCACAGCTTTTTTCCAGCCTGGCTTCATAGCTATAGCATTGCAAGAATGAAAGTGAAATAGTTCAGTGTGTTAAAGATTTTTTTTATTGGTGCAGAAAGCGATGATGAGATCAGCGAGGTGTCCAACGAGCCCAACGTGGAGTACACGGAGGTGGTGCACGCCCGGTCAACAGATCCTGCCAGAGGTTAGCAGTGCATGAACACAGAAGGGAAATAATCCAGTATTTATTTTAAAAAATGAAACAACTGTGGGAGAAGACACAGACTTACAATACTTATAGAAACAAGGCCGGTCGTCAGGAATATTAGGAAGCTATTGTGTGCGATGTGAAGTGAAGAGGGGAAAGAGGGGGGAAATAAATACAATAACAAATAGAGAAAATAAGTAAATAATAAAGAAATGGCTTAATATATAATAATATGCAGCTTTACACAAAATGTTTTTTAAACCTTTTGTTGGTCTGTCCTTGTTCCTTTCTTTGCAGTTCCCCCAAACCTCCTGAACAAAGTCATTTTCACCACTTTATGCACTTCCTTTATAGTTGATAAGAGCAACCAACGCGTACTAGGAGGGGTCTAATTACCCATAATTAATACATCTTCAGGTTGCTGTGAATGCAGAGATAACCGCTGGGATTTCCACAATCATTGCAGACCTTATAAACAGGAAGGGTTTAACTAAACGCCAGAGTGATTTCTGCTGCTTCTTCTTCCTCGTGGTCTTGTGCTCAAGGTCCCATCGGACCTGAGATGGCAGTTGGAGTGTGACATAACCTGCCTATTTATAGATCACAGAGACAGTATCTGCTGAAGTTTGTCTTTTGATGCTCAGGCAGACTAATGTGTTTCTTTTTACTTTAACAGTTCCACTGAGAAAAGGCACAGACACAGTTTACAGTGAGCTCCAAAACTCTCCAAATGGTGAGTTTGATCTTTGAAGCAGCTCTCGTTATTTATTTTTGTAATTATTATTTTACTTTTTACTTTAGATTTGTTACCAAACCAATTTGCTTCAGCTTTTGAAACTGTTTTAGCATCTTTCAGCTCATTGTTTTAGTTTCCTAACCAGCTCAGATAAGCTGCTTTTGAAAGTGAATATGGAAAACTGGAAAAACTTATTTCATTAAAAAAAATTATTTGTTTAATTTGCCTCTATAATTATTTATAATTAAGTAGATGTTTATTCAAATTTGATGGATTTGTTCATTCTCAGTTCATTTTCAGTTTTTTGTTAGAAAGAACTCTCATTGTGAGACAGTCGATGTATTCTTAATAAAATGAAAAGGCATTTTATCCCACTAATATGTGCTTTTCTCTAAATGTTATCAGGCAGTAAGCTAAAATTTGAACAGCAATTTATTTATTTTTTATTTTCAGCATCTCACCATCCACAGATGAACCTCTCTCACACAACTTAATCTGTGAGACATTATTCAGAAAGTTAGTTTCACAATGGTGCTGCTCAGCAGTCTGATGTCTTCCTTAAGAGTTTGTTATATGGAGGGCTAAAACTGCCAACATCAAATAAATAATAGGCATATAAAGAATAATAAGCACATACTACAAAAAGAGTTGATATGCCAGAATATCCACTGTAAATAATAATTAATGTAAGAGTTAATTAATTTGAGATATTTACAATATTTTAGTTGCCTTTAAAAAATGGAGCCATCAAAAATTTAAAACATTTAAATATGTTCACTGTTTTATTGTCGCTCTCAGACTCTGATATAATATATAATTTTACTCTTCAGTTGATATCAGTTGACAGTCTCCTCTTTCTTTGTTCTGCTTGATTTTGTTGTTAGGGTTTTCCACAAAATTTGGGAAAAATACAAAAAATAGTTACAAAAACACAAAAATGTGAATAAATATATGTGGAAATTGTGGGATAAATAAATCCAGACATTCATTAAACATACATACAAATTAAAAAGAAAAATATCAGTATTGTAAAGACCTGCAGTTCTGGTCCTCTGAAGTATGGAAACCTCCCAGTGAAAGCCAGTGTTGTTCTGAGTCTATATAACTAGGCTTTGGTTATCAGCCTATTGATTGTTTAATCATATAAGCTTCTTATCTGGTTGTGCTGCTTCTGAGTGACAAATAATGAGATAATGCAGCTTTAAAACCTGCAGTCTGATTTTATCAGAGACACTTCAGATCTAACCAAATATCATTTGAAGATTAAAAACTTCTATTA